CCCCCCCCCCCCACCTTCCAAAACCAGCCTCTGCATCCCCTGGATTTCCTCCTAGAACGAAGGGCTCCCGTTTCTTGCCCTGGGTAAGAGGGAGATTTCTCTCCATTTTGTGGCCCCTGCCCTATTTCTTGAACCCGGCTGCTTCTAGAATCTCAGCCAAAGCTTCTTGCAAATGGGAGTCTGTCTTTTAACCAGGATTCCTTCTGGGCAGCAGGCTAGGCTAGATGGCCTCAAAGGGTCCTTCCACTCAAGGTTTCTGACGCCCCACCCAACCCCCAAAATTGGGGCTTCTCGCAGCAATGTGGAAATGTCCACGGAGTCCAATTGCAGGGGGACAGGGGTGGTGGTGTCTGGGCATTGAGGGGGTTGCAGACTGAATCCCCCTGGGAAATGGAGGGAGGGGAGGGGAGGGGTCAGCCACCCACCCCCTTTCCTGTACCTGTTGTAGTTCCTCTTCTGTCGCTTCACGATCTCAGCCCCCTCTCGCTTGGAGACAAAAGCTGCAGGGAAGGGAGGGGGTGTTTAGGACAGGGGAGGAAGGAGGGCAACTGGGAAACTCTTTGTTTCCAACTGGGAGGGTTTATGTCCGATTCTAGTCCTCATGGGGTCCGCAGAAGGAAGAGGCGGCCGCTTCTTCTTAAACCCTCCCTGCAGAGAGAAGGGCAAGAAAAGGGCACCCGGGCCATTCCCCACCCGAGCCAGGTGGTGGGCATCACGGCTCCTGTCCCGCCCCCCCCCCCTCTCGCTCCAAGCCCGGGCCAAAGGGCGCCGCCCCCGACTTGCAGGGCAGAGGGGCTGGGGGGGGGGGGCTCTGCCTGGCATGGCTCCAGTAGAGGAGAACCCCCCCCTCCGCCCTCCAAGGGGGCAGCGCCAGAGGGGCGGCCGGAATCTGCAAAGGCTGAAGGTGCCAGCAGGTGCCCGGAGGCGCCTCAAGGCTGCTCCCCTTCTGGGCCGGGGGCGAGGAGAGGGCCTGGGACGGGGGGGGGGGGGGGTCGTAACGGAAGGCGCTCCGACTCACCTCCCGACTTGGGCGGCCCGTCGGCCCTCCGGGCGTGATCGACTTCTGCAAAAGAGGAGAGGGGGGAGGTCGGCTCAGCGAGGCGGCAGCCTTGTCCTCGGTGAGGGGAGGGGGCTCGCTGGGTTTGGGGAAGGGGAGCCCGAGGGGGCAAGGAGGGAAGGGCGAGAAGCCCCTCTCCTGCCCTCCCCAAGCGGCTCTCCTCGTCCCAGGGCCGGGGCCCCGGGAGACCCTCGCCCCCTTACCTGGCCGGGCGAGGCTGAGCGCGGCCAGGGCGCAGAGAGCGGCCAGCAGAAGGGCGTTCATGGCGAGGTCTTGGGATGCTCCGGGCGGGTCTCTGGCCTCGGCTGCCCGGCGCCCCCTTTATCCTCGCCCGGCCTCCGGGGGCGTTGCGGGAAAGCTGCCAGGCTCCGGGGCCAGGGGAGGCGGGGAAAGGCGGGAGCCCCGCCAAGCGCGGAGTTTGGGGAGGGGGGGGGGGCCGGGGGGGGCCCCGGGCCCGGGGGGGGGTGGGGGGGGGGGGGTTGCCCTCCTTCCAGGTGGGGTGTAAGGGGAGGCGAACAGTTCGGGGAGTTTTCACGGCAGCATCTTTGGAGGGAAACGCAGAGGTCAGCTTGGAAGTTGTCTGGGCTCCTTCCAGACTCGTCCTAAAGTTGCAAAAATTGAGAAAAACTTGGCAACTTTTAAAGACGTGGGGACTTCAACTCCCAGATTCCCCGCCAGCCAGCATGGCTGCCTGGAGATTTCTGGGAGTTCAAGTCCCCCATGGCTTAAAGGTTGCCCAGATTGGGGGCCTCTGGACTTGAGCATCACCCAAGAGAGACACCCAGGTGCGACGGAAGCCTCCCGAAAATGTTTGCGGCAGTGATGGCGCTTCCATTCCGCCCTCTTGACTGTATCCCGAGGGTGCCCTCTGGGCTAGGAAGGTGGCCGGGGATGGGTGGCAGGCCAGGTCCCTCAAATGCCCACCTGCCTTGCAAGGCGCGGGTTGGCCCTTCGGCTCCATGGCTTTCCTGCCCAAAGATCAGAGGTTGCCCTGCGCTCTGTCTCTCCAGGGACTGGCGCCCTCCCGGCCTTGCCAAGGGGCAGAGGCTGGACTCCCAGGGCCACTCCTTCCGAGCCGGGATTTCCACAGAAAACCCACGAAAGTTGAAGCGTTCAAATTCAGGGTGACTTTTAGGGCACTAAGTTGGGGGCTTTCTAACGTCAGTGATGGCCTTATCGATCAACATTTTATTATTTTACTGTCTGGATTTAGGCATTGCTATAATTTCATTCTGTGCCCTTTTAGTTGTTTGGTATCTTTTTTTTTTTTTTTAAGAATTGGTCTCAGGAAAAGAAAAGAAAAAACCAAATTTCCTTTTAAATTGCTGCTTTTATTTTATTGCACATCTTGATTGATTGATGTGGTACCCAAAAGATTTTGCCCATCCTGGTTCTTCAGGCACCCATCATTCCTGTAATGGCATCTCAAATGGCCATCTAAACTTACTTTCCTTCCTTTCTTTTTTCTTCCTTTCTTCTTTTTTTCTTTTTCTTTCTTCTTTCTTTCTTTCTTTCTTTTTCTTCTTTCTTTCTCTCTCTCTCTTCTTCCTTCCTTATTAAAACGTTGTGCCACACATCTACAAGGTGACTCTGGGTGACTTACGTTATAAACGAAATAAAAATAATTAAAACACCTTAAAACCATGCAGATTAAAATATTATTTTAAAAAACTTGACTAGAAACCCAAACCGAGAGACAGGCGGCAGTTCCCTCCTCCGATGGCAGAACGGGGAGCCTGTTAGCAAGGCAGAAACCTGGAAAGGAAAGGTGATCCCTGAGGCAACCTTGTCTTACCATTGTTCATTTAGTGACCGTCCAGAGTGACACTGAAAAAAATGACTTGTGGCCATTTTTCACACTTACGGCCGTTGCAGCCTCCCCGTGGCCGTGGAATGGAACTTCCACCCCTTGGCAACTGGCTCATATTACGACGGCCACAGTGTCTCCTGGGCTCATGTGATTCCCTTTTGTGACCTTCTGACAAGCAGAGTTAACGGGGGGGGGGGGGAGAATTCACTTAACAACCGTGTTACTAACTTAACAGCTGCAGTGATTCACTTAACAACGGTGGCAAGGAAGGTCCTAAAATTCTTCCCTTACGAAATGCCTCGCTTTGCAACACAAATGCTGGGCTCCATGGAGGGCAAGGACTGCTGGGGTCAACCTCCAAGAATCCTCCTTCTGCTTGTCTTTCTGGCTGCCATAGAAACGAGGGGGGGGGAGGGGAATGGGGCTGGGGTGGGGCAAGAGTGCTGGAGGCTTGAGAAGGTGAGCTGTAAAACTTGAGAAAACTTTCTGGACTCTGCTTCCTTGCTTACTGCGCAGCTGCGGCTTCTTATCTATTCAGGCCAAGGCCGACCGTCCTGGCGAGCCAGAGGTCTGAAACACGACCTGAAGAGGCTCCACATGACATTATGCACGTCTCAGATTGGATGGCCAGTTTGAACTATTGGGGGGACGGGCGGGGGGGGACACACATTGCCATAACTGTATTTTCACGCCCGAATGCCTCAGATCTTGAATTCTTCTGATGCTACCACTTTGAAGTCCTTTCCTCCATAACAATGGAGTCTAAGGGGTTTCTTTCACCTGACAGCTGGTGCTCGGTTCTCTGGACCAAAACTGGTTAAACTGGCCGGTTTCCATCTTTCCTCCCACTTGGAAGCCACGGTGGTTACCGTCAGACGGACAGCGCAGAGTGCAGCCCCTGCGCTTGGCTGGCTCGTTTCAGGGTGGCACCGGTTTTCATGGGATGGGGGGGGGGGTGCCAGAGGAAGGGGGCTGGCCCTTGGCCCAAGAGCGCTGGACAAGAGTGAGGTCAGGAGGGGGAAAGGCCCTGGGGCTGTAATTACCAGCAATTACCCGCAGGGTTTGTGCAGATCGGGCCTGGGCCAAAGCGGGCGAAGCCTGTGATTTCACTCGCCGCTTCCTCGTCCTTCCCCCGCCAGGCATCCTGTCTGGGGCAGCCGCACGGCTGAACTCGAGCCCTGGGACGGCTTCCAGATCCGGGGAGAGGAAACTGTGGGGCTCCCTTGCATCAGACACCCAGCCCCGGCCGGTGCCGAGTCGCCGCTCTGAATGCCACATGGGCCTGTTTTCCTCCGCTTCAAGCCTGGGCAGTGCCCGAGAGAGAAAGAATAATGACAGGCTGGGCTTGGACAGTTGGAAGTTACTCATTCCCCAAACTCAGGGCTTCTTTGGGGGGGGCTCCCATTCACCCGGGGCCTCTGGCCGAGTTGCAAGGCGCAAAACGCAACCTGAGATGTAAAACGGTGAATTTCCTGGCCCCGCTTTATCCTGCCTAGCAAGCGGGGGCCAAGCCAGCCGAATACCAGGGCCGGCCTGCGCCTCCATCCACCCCACACGTCCCTCGAGACAGACGTGGCACCGAGAGCAGCCGCTGTTCCCCTCCCAGCCTGGAGGATGCTCAAAACTCCAAAACAACCATTTGGTACAAGTTCAGCTGTCCTAATGAAGGTGGCCGCCTTCGCAGCCTGGGAACGGAAATGCAAACCGCTCTGAATTGTTGGGAGCAGAAGGTAGTGATTTCAACAAAATGTAATCAAATAGTCGAGCTAACCTAGGAAGAGTCTCCAACACGCAACTGAAGGAGCCTGAAAGAACCTTAAACGTCCGCTGCTGATGGCTCAAGTGGCCACCAGGCTTGACCCCAAGAGGCCTTGGGGGCAGAATACAGAATAAGAGTTGGAAGAGGCCTTCGTGGGCCTCTAGTCCAGGGGTCGCCAACCTCTTGGACCTTGGGGACTACCAAACTCATAATTTTAAATCCACGGGGCCACTAATATGAATTTTGGCCAATAGTGGCTTCCTGACGTTGGTGGGAGAGAAGAGAGATCTGATCTAACCTCCCTCTCATTCTCTCCCTCAAACGCACAAACCCAGAGGCAGGGGTGGGATTCAAGTTTCTTAACCAATTCTTGGGCACGGCCTAATTTGTGGGTATGGCTTAGTGGTCATGTGACTGGCTGGGCATGGCTTGTATGTAAATATTATAAATGTTTATGTCAATATTGAATTTTTTTATAAAGAAACAAACTCTTACCCCAAAGCAGGCAAAGCAGGCAGGCAGATTGAGTTGCTCACAGAATCACAGATTCACTTAGAGATCTGTGTTTCTGCCATCGGCTACCTGAGTCTGCACTGACCAATAGAACCTTCAGTCCTAAGGGAGGTTCGGCTCTGCTTAAAGATTAGATAGAAAGCAAGAAATCCAACCATTTCCTGCTTTCTAGCTAATCTGAATCTCCTGGCACAGCAGAACAGATGATGGTCGGGGGGGAAAAAAGGAAAAATAGCAATTTAGCAGGCAGGTTTGCTGGGTAAGGAGTGAGTGGGCCATGTGGGCTCCGCAGCCTTGTGTTCCCGTGCAGCCTGGATTAATTGCTTTGGGGGGGTTGCTCTGGGGGTGGGGGGACATTTCTCTGTGGACCACCCAAATTTTCTCCACCGGTTGGCGACCACTGCTCTAGTGCAGCCCCTCCTCAGGCAGGAAACCCTATATAGTGATGGTGAACCTTTTCAGCACCAAGTGCCCAAAGCGTGTGCATCCCAAAAGTGCAATAGGCACGCATCTCCCAAGCATGTGCATGCATCTCCCATGTATGCACGCACTTCCCTATGCGTGCACCCCTCCCCCTGCACACGTGCAGCAGAACTGAGCTGGGGCGATGGCTCGCATGCCCAGAGAGGGTTTGCCATCACAGCTTTCGACCATCAGGCGAACGGCTGTCAGTTTCTTCTTAAAAGCCACCCGTGACGGAGCAGCCGGAGCTTCTGGAAGGAAGCTGTTCCAGATTGTCCCGTTCCAAGTTTCTCCTTCGTTCCAGGTTGCTTCTCTCCTTGTTTCCATCCACTGCTTCACCTTCTGCCTTCAGGACAGGCAAGACGGTTCCCCTCTTGTGCAGGATTACTATGGCTATTCGTGGCTATTCGTTATATTGAAATAAAAAATATAGGCGGCTGCAACTTATAACCATGGAGATTTCCCAAGGAAGGAGACAATTGTTTGCACATTTTATGGAGCTGTGGTTGCCAGGACTTTGGGATCCAAGTTCATCCAACATTTAGCAGCTACGTGCAAACGTGTTGGCTGCATTAACTGCAGTTCGTCTTTTTTAGGGCTTAGCAGGCGGATAATCCTTACCTCTCACAACAGGTAAGAACATTAGTGATTTGGTAGTTCTCAAATGTGAGGATCTGACACCAAAATATCGGTTTGTGAGGAAACTGGAGGACAGGAAGATGCAAAATATGAACTAGGAGAGCTTGAAAACAGAGAAATCTCCAGGTCATATAACATATTGCTAAATTTGGGATCTCCAGCTAACCTGGAAGAGGTGAGCAGTATTCCATGGGGCTGTTAGTGAGGAACTTAGGTCAATTTTAGATAACATTGTAAAAAAAGGTATGAGAATATCCTAAGAAAAATGAAATAAGTTATAACGTGAATTGGAATTGGATAAATGTAATATTCGATACTAATAAGGTTAATGTGATATGAAGTTGAACAAGCAAAATGAATAGGTAACTATGGTCATGTTTGTACCGAGATGTGAAACCTGGAACCACAGTGCTTGCCAAACGAGGATTTTTTTTTATTTAAAAAGGGGAAAAAACGAGGAGGAAATTGAATAATGAAATGACTAGGTGTGTTTAACTGACATGGTGGTTGGCACTAGGAGAGAGTATTGAAATGTTGCAAATAAGCAATGAAGGATTTTGATTTAATGTGAATATGTGTATGAAGAGAGAGGACTGGTATTAAGTTTACCTATACTCAAATGTACATTGATGCCACTGTTAATGCATTGTTGTGTATGTGTAGATTGGAATAAAAAAAACCTGATTATAAAAATAAAAAAAACCTGCTGTAGGAATGCTTCCTTCGAGAGAAGCAACGTCCACTTGCTTTTTCAGCGAGGCCTCAACAGCTCCCCGACTGCTAGAAGCCCAGCCAGAGAAAGAGGCGGCAGAAGCCTTTTGGGGCGTTCTCCACCTTGGCATCTCGTGTTACAGCCATCGGGGCTTTGTTTACGGAGTCCTGAGCTGGGTCGGCCTCCCTCCCAAACCCGTTTCTTCTGATCAAAAACAGATGTTTGGAGGGCCACAGAGTCTGCGCCAGTCTTGGGCCGCCTGGCTGGCTCCAAGAGCTCTGTGCATCGAAGCAAAACGGGCCACACATTTAGAACCCAGAATCAGAAGCTCCCGGGAGATTTGTCTCTGGGGGTGTTCCTCTCCCGTGAATCCAACAAGCCCCTCAGTCGCCTGAAATGTGAGCCAGACAGCAAATAAATTGGATAGGTAATAACATAAATAACCCCGAAGAGCTGCATGAAGGACTCTGCAGAAGAGGCGGGTGTCTTTTTTAAAGAAGAAGAAACTAGGCAGCCTGTGATCTGAGATAGCACAGGTTCTCCTGCTTGAGCAGGGGGCTGGACTAGAAGACCTCCAAGGTCCCTTTCCAGCTCTATTCTATTCTAATTAATTCTAATCATTCTATAAGGTCTTCTCCTAGCAAAATCTCTTCCATGCTTCCCAGACCAAAAAAAGGGTCAGTGAAAGCCAGGCCTCCTTTTTTCAGATACATGGCTAAAGTTTGGGAAAAGGCGAGAAAAGATGACCAGGAGTCTAAAAATAAAAGCTCATCAAGGCGTTGAAAAAGCTGGTTGAACCCTGAGAGGAAGACGGCGGAGGGTGAGAAGAAGCTCTTCGGAGGTCAGAAAAGATGCCGAAGAACGAAAGGGAGCTTGGAGACCATCTAGCCCAGTGTTTTTTTCAACAACTTTTAAGAGGTCCAAACTTCAACTAGAAACATGAATCTAGATGCAATCTACAAAGGGACACTTGTTGTCTGATCGTATGATTTGCTTGTCCTCCTACGCCTGTATTTGTGTAAGTCCATGGCTGTCAAACCGGAGAGCTTGCAGAATGAATATTGTGAGGGGAAGGAATACAAAGCAGGAGCCGTAATATTGGAATAAAAACAAGGATATCGTCACATGCACACACACCCCCAGGTCAAGCCAAGAGGGGAAGGGCTGCTCTGGAAACCTGGCAGAAAAATCCCCAGGCTCACTGTGTGGCTGAGGTCTCCCTCACATCCTCGCCCCCCCAAGAAGCAGCCAGGTCTCCTCAGGAGACGTCATCCAAGTTCTCCATCGTCTTCCGGCCATCGACAGCAGTTCCCTGAAAGGAGAGCAAGGAGAGAGTAAGTCCATTGCCAGGACAGCCTTTGAGTAAGAGGAAGCAGCCTCCCCCGCTCTCTGCGACGTTGAGGGTTGGGCTTCAACCCCCCAGAATCCCCCAGCCACCATGGGGAGCACACGTCCCCTCTTCTGGAAGTCACTGAGGTTGAGGCTCAAGAGGCTCTGCAGAGAAGAGAGGGGCTACTACCAGGTGGGATGTCTTTTCAGAAGAAGAGTTGGAAGGGACCTCAGAGGTCTTCTAGTCCTTCCCTCCTATCCCCTTTCAGATCAACGGCATCTCTTCTTAACGGAACGTCTCTTCTTAAAAACCTCCAGTGATGGAGCACCCACAACTTCTGAAGGCAAGCAGTCCCACTGGTTAATGGTTCTGACTGCCAGGAGGTTCCTCCTTAATTCCAGGTTGTGTGATGACCCAAGGTGGGATACAAGTCCGACAAAGTCACAAAAACAGGAGAAGCCCCTTTAATTCCTTCCACTTGGCTTCAAAGCTCCAATTATCATGGACAGGAGAAAAATCTCCCCCACAAACAGTTGCGAAAAGGAAGGATTTCCGTTCAAACTCAAAATACATATCAATTATAAATAGGAAAAAAAACAACACAAACCAATGAGACCAGGCAGGATAAGGGCTTGAAGATGTCCACAGATATCGAAATACACACACAAACACACACACACACACACACACTGGGAAGGACGCCAGAACTCAGATAAGAACTGACAAACTATATTTTCACGCTTTGCTTCCAGCAATGGGCCATGCGTAGTTTGTCCTTTTAAACAGTCCTCCCAGCTGCAGCCCATGAAGGGGATCAAGGCCCTTTCCTCCCCCGTAAACCATGCCATTCACATTTCTCCCTTATCCACTCCTCCCTGCGTGCCCTAGGATGAAGAGGGAATGGGCCTGGGTCTTCCTCTGAATGCCCAGCCGGCCTGTGCCCTTCTCCAGTTACCTCCGGAGCTACACTCCCACTCCGTTGGCTGTTCCTCCTCTCCCTCGGAGTCAGATTCTAAAAGGGCCTGACAGGTTACTTCTCTCCTTGACTAGCTTCCTTCCACCCGTTGCTTCTTGTCCCGCCTTCAGGTGAAGCCTTGCAGGGGCTTTCCAGGAGCAGTCAGAGGTCCTTCCCTAGGAAATCCTGCTGCCACCTTCAGCAGTGAGATGTCCCAATACCAACAGCTAGTCCTTGATTTACGACCATTCGCTTAGTAACCTTCCAAAATTACAATTGTGTTGAAAAAAAGGGAAATGAGGAGTCCTTGCACTTTTGACCGTGGCTGTGGCCTGTGGCCGCCAGATCACAACAGGCACACAGGGCAACCAGTGGGTATCGATGGTGGCTGCAACGTCCCAGGATCACCATTGGCAACCTCTCCAGCCTTTCCAGTTTGACAAAGTCAATAGAAAAGCCAGCAAGTCATGGTCACGTGATGTCTCACTTCATGACTGTGGCCAAAAGGCTGCAAAATTGGGCGTGGTCATGCCATGCCTCACTTAATGACTGCACCACTTAACATGTTTTCCGGGCCCCGCTGTGGTCGTAAGCCAAAGAGTGCCTGCACTGAGATGTGCAATGCATTCTGCCGCCCTCGCTGGAGGACACTAGAGCAGGTCGGAGGGAAGGAAGCGCCCTGCGTGGCAACCTGAGCAACTTTGAGACCTGTGGACTTCAAGGCCCAGCTGGCTGGAGAATCCCAGGAGTTGAAGTCTTGGGGTCTTAATGTTGCTAAGGTTGGACGCCCCCCCTGCACTACGGGGCAACCTGATCTCCTCTTGTGCTACTTTGAAAAAAAAACAAACCATTTTTTAAATTGAGAAAACTGTTTAATTTTTGTTCTTCCTCAGTTTGCGATCTGGATTAGGATCCCCACTTTTGGTTCATCTGGCTGTAGATAGTCCTTGACTTATGACTCCAAAACTGAGCCCAAAATTTCCTTTGCTAAGTAAGGGAGTTGGTCGGTGAGTTTCGCTCCGTTTTATGACCTTTTTTTGCCACCGTCGCTAAGCGGATCTGGCTTCCCCCATTGACTCTGCTGGTCTGAAGACGGCTGGGAAGGATACCAACGGTGACCCCGGGACCCGTCAAGGCAGACATGCAGGCCAGTTGCCAAGCGCCCAAGTTTTGATCAAATGATGGTCCGAAAGAGTGAAAACCGTTTGCAAGCCGCCTTTTTCAGTGTCACTGTCACTTCCAAAGATCACTAAAGGAATGGATAAAAGTCGAGGACCCCCACCTGCATTTCAAGGGCCCATTGGACACTCCAGCACTAACCACAATCCCTGTGAATTGCCCGGCCCCGACTGCATGCCAAGGCGACCCCTCACCTGCCACTCTTCCTTCTGCCGGCGGATCTGCTCCTGCAGCTCTGCAATCCTCTGCCGGCCGGCCAGCACAGCGGCGGCCAGCTGCGAGTTGCGCTCCTGCTTTTCCTGGAGGGATTTCTGGAGGAATTTGCGCTGCTTCAGAAGGTAGGGCACCACTGCCCCACGGACGTCTTCCTCGGGGATGCCGGTGGGGCGCCTGGATTCAGAGAGGAGGTGCACGTCAGGAGCCCTGCCCCGAGGCCATCCACTCTCCTGGCAGGAGAAGGCACTGTACAAGCTCCCACCCCCGCCTTCTGCAGTGGGGCCAGGCCACCCCTCTGCAGTTAACCCAGGGCGTTGCTGGACTGAGAGGCGTGACCCCAGCCGTCCCAAAGCAAGAAGGGCCTGTGAAGGGAGACTGCGGGCTGCAGAGTGAGTCCCGGGAATGCCGCTGCCTGTGAGGGAGCCTTACCAGGCAGGGGCCTCCTTGTCCTTGGCTTCTCTCTCCAGCTTATCCAGGGACTTGAGGAGCACCGGCAGGTTCCCTTCCTCCTTGAGAGCCTGGACCTCTTCCTGCGGAGACAGAGGCAGTCGAGGGGTGTGTGGCAGGAAGACCGCCTGGGTTGTCTTGCAAAAGGTTGGCAGCCAGAGAATGGCGCCCGGTTGGAAAGGGAGAGAGTGGGAGTTCTAGTTCTGCAATCAAACAACTCCTGGGGCTCATCCAGTGCACAAAAATGCACACAGAAAAATATTAGCAATTAGAAACAAAGCATAGAACAAAATAGAATAAGCGCAACAAAAGTATAAAAAATAAAACCAATAAATACATGAATAAAAGGGATCAAAACTCAAATGCATGAAAGCCAGCCAGGGGAGTTTGGGCC